GCTCCCTTGGATCTGCGTGCGGCGATACTTGTCAGTGCTGCCCTTCAGTATTTCGCGAAGATCTCCCGGAATTTTTCCTTGTCAGGATTCATCCAAAGTGACATGTGGGAAACCAGAGGTGTTACGCATTGTTGAACGAATACGCGTGTCATGTCACACGTTGTGTCCTTGGTCCCACTGGTTTTTGTTCAGCTCCACTCTTTGCCTGGTGCTTAAGCTGTCGCATGATGATCCTCTGGAATTGCCGATCGATTTCCAAACTCGAGGGCATTTTGGAGTCTGTTCTTGGAGTGGCAGAGGTCGTGAGAGAAGACGGGAGACAAAGTGAGAGAGAGAGAGAGACAGAACAACGAGCTTGTTCCGCCAGCGCCGTCGCCTGGAGAGCCGCGATGGGTCTCGGAACACCCACGATCGGCACTGATAACGTCTACCCCCAGAGGTCCCGACCGATGCCCCTGGACCGCTTTCTCATCCGAAGTCGGCTCTTGACGGTCCCGAGGCCCAGTGAGGGCCCCGAGAGGCCGAAAACCATAAAATCCCGTCTCGATTCTTCGAGACGGCGGATGTCTGAGTCCGCGTCCCCGTCCGCGGCGCCTCTCCGCGTGCCCGGCCATCTCACCCAGGACGGGTTGTTGTTGTTGCTGATTATGTTGCTGTTGCTGTTGCTGTTGCTGTTGCTGTTGCTGTTGTTATTGTTGTTGTCGGTGCTGCTGCTGTTGCTGCTACGATGGTTGTTGTTGTTGTTGTTGTTGTTGTTGTTGTTGTTGCTGCTGTTGTTGTTGTTGTTGTTGTTGTTGTTGTTGTTGTTGTTGTGGTTGAACTTTCATTTTTGAAAAATAATTATTGTTGATCCCCCTCACTGGTGCAAGCTGGTTTTTCACAATCAAAGAATGTCCCTCGACGCTCGCACCTTGTTTTTTGACAGGGGAAGTCTTGGTGCTCACACTGGGCCCCTGGCCCCCCGGACTGCAACAACAAGGGCTCCCGCTTGAGACATCCTCCAAATTTACTCATGACCCTCGCTCCTGAGACCTCCTCACAATTTACTCAGGATCGGTGCTCCCCCCTGTGACTTCCTCGCTATTTAGTCAGGACCCCCGCTACCATCTGAAACTTCCTCACAATTTACTCAGGAATGGCGCTCCCGCTTGAGACTTCCTCGCAATTGAAACAAGCTTTCCTCGCAATGTAATTAAGACCCCCGCTCCCGCCAGAGAACCCTTCACATATTATTCAGGAATTGCGCTCTCTCATGTGACGTTCACGCAATTTATTCAGACATCGCGCTTTCGACGCTCAGGAAACACGCTACGCCAAGGACGCCTTACAATTCACTTGGTAATCGTGCTCTCGCCATACTCAGGCATCCCGCTTGAATGTTCCACCCGCCCGACCCGCCCGTCAGGGGATCGCCCGCCCGTCGTGGGCTCCCGCCCGAGACTTCCTTCAGGAACGGCGCTTTCGCCTAGGACTTCCTCGAACGTTCACGCTCTTACCTTCCTGCTCCTCCTCCCTCTCCCTCCTCCCTCCTCCCTCCTCTCATCCCTTCTCTCTCCCTCCACTCTTCCCTCATCCTTATGCCTCTCTGCCCTATCCCCTCTCCTGCCTTCTCGCTCTTTCTTTCTTTCTCTCTCTCTCTCTCTCTTTCCCTTCTCTCTCTCTCTCTCTCTCTTTCTTTACCTTTTTTTTTCCTCTCTCTCTCTCTCTCTGCCTCTAATCAACCGCCCCCCTCTTCGCTCCTTCTCTCCTGGCGTTTCCCTCTTCCTTCGTCCCTCCCCCCCCCTTCCTCCTACTCTCCCTCGGTCTCCCCTTCCTCTTTTTGCAGGGCCCACACCAATTTCAATGGCGGGCACATGTACGCCCATGAAGGATTGTCCGCCTGTTCAGGTTTGACCGCCTGTCTAAGCCCGCCGCCCCCCGCAAAGAGAAAGAATCCCCCCAAAGGGGGTGTGATCGAAAACAACAAGGGCGGGTATCGAGGGTGTGGGGCACTCGTTTTGAATGGCACGCGGGCAAGTAAGAGCGAACAGTCTTAGAATGGTTGTTGTTGTTGTTGCTATTGTGTTTTTTTGGTTGTCGTTGTCGTTGACCTCTCATTTCTAAATAAGTATGGTTGGTCCTTCTGCCCGGTAGCCACTGTATTATTCCAATTAAAGTGCTTTCTGGGGGCTCGCACCCTTTTTATTTACAAGGGAAAGCGAAATGTTACTATACTGCGCCCCTGGCCTCCGGTTTGCAACAGCAACGGCTCCCGCCTGATCTTTCCTCAGATTTTATTCCAGAATTTCGCTCTCGCGCGGGACACCCTCACAATTCATGCAGGAATCGCGCTCTCGCGTGGGATTTCTTCGCCATTTATTCAGCCGCCGCGCCCTCGACAATCGGGAATCATGCTTTCGCTGTAGATTTCCAAACGATCTATTTCGGAATAGCGCTGTCGCTCGAGACTTCTTCGCGATTCATGCAGGACGCACGCATCAGCAAGCTGCCTGCTCGATCTGGCCTCTTGGGCCCGCTTTCTTGACCCGCCTTTCAGGACCTACCCGCCCGATCTGCCCGTCTGGTTCTTCACGTGTTTTCTGCTCCTACCCCCCCTCCTGCTATTCTCTCTCGTGCTGCATCCTCCTCGCCCCCCCTTGTCCCTTCCTTCCATCCGTCTTCTCTTCCCGTGTCTTATGGGCTGCATGGAATACACGTTGCAGGTAAGAAAGATATACCCCTAACGGGGTACGACCGAAGACGACGAGGGCGGGTATCGAGGGTTTGGGATATACGTGTAGAATGGCACGCGGGCGGATAGGAGAGAACACTCTTAACATAATTATCGTTGTTGCTGCTGCTGTTGTTGTCGCTGCTGCTGCTGTTGCTGTTGCTGTTGCTGCTGCTGCTGCTGACGTTGTTGCTGTTGTTGTGGTTGTTGTTGTTGTTGTTGTTGTTGTTGTTGTTATTGTTATTGTTGAAGAGCTCTCAGTTCGGAGAAATAATTATTGTTGACCCCCCTCACCGGTGCATGCTGTTTTTCTCAATCAAAAACTGCAGCCCGACGCTCGCACCCTGTCTTTTATCATGGAAAGTCTTGATGCTCAAATTGCGCCCCTGGCCCCCGGGTTACAACAACAACGGCTCTCGCCTGAGACTTCCTGACACTTTAGCCAGGACCCCCGCTCCCGTCCGAGACTTCCTCGCATTTTATTCAGGAATCGCGCTCTCGCTTGGGATTTCCTTGCAACTTATTCAGGAATCGTTCTCCCGGCGCTCTGGAGTCGCGCTCTCGCTGGAGTCTTGCTTGCAATTTACTGAGGATGGCGCCCTTGCGTTGGATGTCCTGTAATTTATTCACGCGCCGCGTTCCCGACACCCATGCACCCAGGAGTCGCGCTCACGCTTAGGACTCCCTCACAGATTACCTAGGAATCGGGATCTCGCTGCCCTTCGTGGCCCCGTTGCAGCCCTTCGTGGCCCCCTCGTTTGTTTCGTGGCCCCGTTGCAGCCCTTCGTGGCCCCCTCGCTTTGTTTCGTGGCCCCGTTGCAGCCCCTCGTGGCCTCCTCGCTGCCCTTCGTGGCCCCGTTGCAGCCCTTCGTGGCCCCCTCGCTTTGTTTCGTGGCCCCGTTGCAGCCCTTCGTGGCCCCCTCGCTGCCCTTCGTGGTCCCATCTATGTATGCCCTTCGTGGCCCCCGCTCGTTCGCGCCCGTTGTGGCCCCATGTGCATGCCCTTCGTGGCCCCGCTGGCGCCGTTCGTGGCCCCCTCGCTGCCCTTCGTGGCCCCGTTGCTGCCCTCAGTGGCCCCGTCCTTACCCTCCGCGGCCCAATATACGTATGCCCTTCGTGGCCCCCGCTCGTTCGCGCCCGTTGTGGCCCCATGTGCATGCCCTTCGCGGCCCCGCTGTCGCCGTTTGAGGCTCCTTCACTGTCCTTCGTGGTCCAGTTGCTACCCTCAATGGCCCAATCGTTGTCTTCTGTGGCCCCGCATTATCTGCCCTTCGTGGTCCCCGCTCGTTCGCACTCTTCGTGGCCCCATACGCATTCCCTTCGTGTCCCCGCTGTCGCCCTTCGTGGCCTACTTCGTGTCCTTCGTGGCCTTGCTGTCGTTCTCTCTCGCTCTCGCTTTCGCTCGCCGTCGCCGTCGCCGTCGCCGTCGTGGTCGTCGTCGTCGTCGTCGTCGTCGTCGTCGTCGTCGTCGTCGTCGTCGTCGTCGTGGTCGGTCCTCTGTCCGTCCCTCTTGGGGTCGGGTCGACGGTCCGCAGCCGCCCCGCCGATCAGCGCAGCCGCCACGCCGCTTGCTGGGGCCCGGCCTGCAGGGAAGAAAAGTATACCCCCGACAAGAGGTTCGGTCGAAGACGAAGAGGGCGGGTATCGAGGGCTTGGGAAATACATGTCATTGGACACTCGAGCAGATAAGGGCGAACAGTCTTGACATGATTGTTGTTGTTGTTGAGCACTTCTAATTGAAGAATAAGTATAGTTGATCCCCCGTTTCGGTGCACACTCTATTTTTCAATTGAAGTGCCCCTCCTGGCGCTCCCACTTTGTTTTTTTTATCAGGGAAAGTCTTCCTCCTCAAACTGTGCCCCTGGCCCCCGTTTTACAACAACAACGGCTCCCCCTCGATATTTCCTCGAAATTTACCCTGGTCCCCCGCTCCCGCTTGTGACTTCCTTGCAATTTACTCAAGAATCGCGTTCCCGCTTCAGGTTTCCTTGCAATTTATTCAGGCGCCGCGCTCTTGCCATTCAGGAATCGCGCGTTCGCTGGGGGACTTCTTCAAATTACTTAGGAATCTTTCTCATTGGAAACTTCGT